GCAGCCGCCGCCTCCCCGGGAGCCCCCGACCCCCGCGGGAAAAGGGTTAACGCGCATAAATCAGCATATCTTAGTGACGTCAGCCGCGGGGCCCCGCTGCAGCCAACCGCAGGGGCGTCGGATAAGGAAATGAGCCCCATCCGGCCCTCAAGGGGGTTTGGGGGGGTTAAAAGGGGCAGTGCATCCCCCCCCCAAACCCCCAGCACCACTCAGCCGCACCCCAACCCGGCCCGGGCGGGGGGCACTCGCCCCAACACAGCTGCCAACACAGCTGCCCCTGCCCTGCTGGGGAGGGGGACGGGGGTTGATGCACTGTGGGGGACACCACCTCGGCAGCTCCTGAGGGAGAAGCACGAAAAGGCTTTGGCTGGGTGCTCCTCAGGGTGCAGCTGGGTGAAAGCATGTCCTGGACGAAGCAGGTAGCGTGCCCCCCCCCAGGCAAACATGTGTGCACCCTTCATCCCCCGTAACAAGCATCGTTCCCCCCACCTAATGTGGGCACCCCTCACCCTGCCAAACGCACTCCCAGGCCCTGCACACCCTTTCGCGTGTCTCCAAGCCCTGGATGTCCCTCCAGCCTCAAGTGAGGCCCAGGAAAAGAGCAGATTTTTTGGACGCTGGATAAACCTCTCACCGCCTTGGGCTACTAGTCCCCAAACTGGGATGGTAAGGCTATGCTCATAGCAGTGACCTGTGTCACCGGAGGCCTTTGCAGAAGTTAATCCCCAGCATCACTGGTGTCCCCAGTGGGATCAGCCACTAGATAAGCACTCTTGCTTTACACACAGGAGAGGAAGCTGGCAGGTATTTGGCAGCAGGGAGAAGGGATGCTGAACGCAGCCTGTTCACCCAAGCGCTACCCACCATGCAAGACGTAATCCCAAATGGGGTGCGCTGCAGCGGCTGGGAGAAAGCCAGCTCCTCTGGCCCTGCTGCCAGCCAAAAATAACCATGTCGGGGTGACTTTCAGCGGGGAAACTATTTGCACGGCTGTACAGGCAGGGTGCTGCGCGCTGAAACGCAGCCGCCTCTGCGGCGGTGACTGCTCATCCCTTGGGATGAAAGCGGCAAGGATCAGGGGATGCTTCTGGTGGGGGAAGAGAGCTGGATCTCCATTTTGCAGCTTGCCTGGACACAGTCCTGTCAGTGGGATAACGACCCCTTCCCAGGACGCCTGGCTCCACAGGACAGCACCTACATGTGAGGCACTCACTATCGCTGGGAGAGGCTGGACTCGTCCCCATGACCCAACGCACACTGAAAATTCCCTTCATGCATTTATTTCCCTCTCGGTCACTGTGACTCACGCTCTCCGGCTGTCTGTTTACAGGCTGTTTTCCCAAGGGCCCTGCGGAGGCGATGACCAGTCAGGAGGAGCTGGGCTGCTCGCCCAGGTCCTGGAGGGAAACCCCCCCGAGGTCTGGGAGCGGGAGGGAAGGGGCAGGAGTCGGACGCCTGCATGCTGGGACCTCTCTGAAGGGATGGAGGCCACCGTGCATCCCACAGACCGGCTACACCCAGGAGCCTGGGGCGATGCCGGGGCTGGCACTGCCAGCCTGCCTGGCATTGCTCTGGCAGCTGGCCACTGGTGGGGCAGAGGTGGGTACCACC